GTTTTATACAACCTAGATGCGATTGGTGACAACCAATGACTACTGTTTTATACAACCTAGATGCGATTGGTGACAATAATTTTGATGAGGAACTTGTTTACATTTACCGGTACTATTAAAGTTACAACTGATTACAGTCGTGTAATAATATTGAATTTACATATAATTACTTTTTTTCAGTCCCGTTTCAGGCACAGCCTGAAAGGTAAACTATTAATTCTTATTTCAGGAATTAATTGGGTCTTTTTCAAGATTTTCATCCAAAATTTCCTCCCCCACTGCACTGACAGAGTAACTGAGCATGCTCAGAATAAATAATTAGCTTAGATTGTAATGCTAGGGTTTTTAGTGATGTCATGCCCTGGTCATTACCTTAATCTGAATCAGTGACAGATGGGTCGTACCATTACCAATCTCAATGGGAAATGTAGAGGGGTGTCAAGGCTACATTTTGATGGGAATTATAATGGTAATACTGAAACAAACCCAGGTCCTGGTAATATACAAAGACCTGAATTAACAAAAAAGTCAAGTTGTTATTGAAGGTACATCAAGGTTTACTCAGATTTATGAATGCAGTTTCTTGAGCATGTATGAGGCGTAGTTTGGTTGCACTTGTGTACTCTTGAGATTTTGGACTCGGGTCAATGACAGTTTTCAGTTATCAGATTAAGGGAAATCACTTTATGATGAGTTGTACCCACATAGAGTACATATTAATTCAATTGTTTGCAGATGTTCCATGTATTATTTTAAAATTAAATAATGGGGACTGTGACATTTATGTCTTTTTTTTACTGATAGACCGGAGTGAAACGTGCCAGAAGTCCATCACCTCCTGTAGTACAGCTCTATCCATCACGTCCACAAGGATATCCACAGGGTTACCCTGCTTCATACCAAACAACTGCTACATACCAACAAGGTCAGTGTTCTCCCCAAGATGTAAACAGCGTGGCAGTCCCGCCACAGTGCTTCGATTTGCCGCCACACCGGTCTGACACCGCCACGGTGATTAGCAAAACCGCCACAGTGCTTTTTTCATTGGGGATCTCGTCACACTGGTCGGCCCGACTGGCACTCAAAATTAGCGACCACCACGGAAACGCTTCCGACTATTGCCATATTGTTATTATACTTGCGTACCGACTGACACGCATCCTGCCAGTCGAGGAGAATAATTTGTAAACAATAGACATAGTCCCGCGATTAAACAATACAAGTCAATTTTGTAAGATTAGCACCTCTTTGTTTGTAAGTAAATACTTTCTGACGAT